ATCTTAGTACCCTGACCAGAGATTAAACCCAGGCCCCCTGCATTGGAACCATGGAGTCTTAAACACTAAGACCACCAAGGAGGTCCAGGAAGGAACTTTTCAAATATGCAAAACAGCTCAAGAAGTTCCCTTGCTCACGACTGTCCAGCTGCTTCGCATTTAACTCAGAATAAAATCTAAATTTCTGTCTGTGCTGTGCAAGGCCTGACTGACATGCCTTCCACCCACTTCTCAGACTTTCTCCTTCCTCCCTAACCCATACCTTGAGCCAGCCGAGTTTTCATACTGCCCCATAAAGATACCAAATTCTTTATGCCTAGACTCAGGGAACTTGCACTGGCTCTTCCCCGCCCCCACCTGGAGGCACTTCTCCCAAATCTCCGGGTGTCACCCGTCTTTCAACATCCATTTTCCTCCCAGCATGCATGTCAACCTGAAATCCTTCTATGTATGTATCTATGTATATATGTATTTTCATTCTTTATAAAAAGCCTTTACTTGTCTGCCTTGGGTCTTAGTTGCGGCATGCAGGATCTTTGGTTGTGGTGTGCAGACTCTCTAATTTGCGGCACACAGGCTCAGGAGCTCGGCGGCATGTGGGATCTTAGTTCCCCGACCAGGATTCGAACCCTTGTCCCCTGCACTGCAAGGCAGATTCTTAACCACTGGACCACCAGGGAAGTCCCTGTATTTTCATTCTTGCTCCCTAAGCGCAAGCACATACACGCAAGCACATACACACACAGACCCAACACACACGGTGCGAATTCCACGAGGGGTAGCAATTTGTCCACCCTGTTAGGCCTAGCACCATGGCAAGAACATGGTAAATCCTCAGAAAATATGGGATAGACAGGGAGATGCAGGCAAATAGCATTTCTCCTTTTGACCACTCTCCCCTACTGTCCTTCTCCACCAGCCACACTTCTGCCTGTCTCCTCCACCACACCACCAGCAGGAGACAAAAAGGGGAAAAAAAAAAACCCACACACTATTATCCAGCTTGAAATTTCTTTTAAAAGAATCATGTATCATGAGTAGGCAGACCAACAGCCTCCTAAAAATTACTTGCATTTTCAGTCAAGGAAAAGTCAACCCTTGTTGGAGACGTGCCATGAAAACAATCGGGCTTCAGAGCAATTCGGGCCGTATAACAGCCACCAAAATTACATTTGTAAGTGGGATTTTGTGCGTTGGTTTTTTTTTTTTTTGGGTTTGTTTGTTTTAATTTAAAATGCTGTTAAAGTTAAAGGCCCCTGGATTTGACACCATCCTCCTCTTGCAACCTGATGAATCACATTTACCGTGAGATGAAATCTGGTGTTAAATGCTCTGAATGACAGCATATGATCAGGGCCAAGCTTAACACAACAGAGTTCTGTAATTTAGATTGGCTGTAATGAGGTACCACAATATTGTTGTCGGTGTTGGGTGTGTGTGTGTGTGTGAGAGAGAGAGAGTCTGCAAGCCAGCTCAAACTTGCAACAGAATAGCAACTTCTCTTCAGCCCTTCACACAATTCAAACAGAAACTCCCACTGCCATTGCCCTTGGCCACTTGTTGCTAGTAAAACTAGCAAAGCTTGTATATTCAGCGCAAATATACTTTGGTATTAACTAATGAGGCTTCCTAATGCTGACAAGCAGCTAATGGATCTGAAAATTCAGCAATTCCAACCACCACCACCAACAACAAAAAATCCTTCATCTGTGATACACGGTTTCTCCATCAAATTCCTAGCTCAGAGTAAAGCTAATATATTTTCTTTAAGAGGAAGGCTATTCTCTCAGCCAGGAAATTTGGTAGAGTCTTATGTTATTCTGACCCATCCCCCTCTTCCCTCTGTGTAATATTCATCAAAAGAAATGGACGGGAAAGGACTGAAAATGTATACTCCAAATGCAGTAACCTACTTAACCTGGCCAGATTCTCGGGGACTTCTGGGAACACAGACTGCAGTCACTTTGACAAGTGAGAGCCATCATTTGTGAATTTCAAATTCACGGGGAAGACCTCAGGTAATGTGTCTGTTCCATCATGAGTGACAACTCCTTCACTCAGTAATAAAGTTATGCTCATATACCTCATGTAAGACTTCATACATGGCACTGAGATGATGCCAATGAAAGAAAGATACATTTATTTTCTCAAGAAGTGAACAATTTGTGGAGTTATCTCCAGAAGAGGAGGTACCTGGGGCTCTGATGGGATGAACTTCTTGCCACCAGACTCACAGTTTTTCAAGGTTTGAAGACCCCCTAAAAACATTACTCTCTTTCCCAACACCTTGGCCCTTCCCTCAGAGCCACTGAGAAATAGAATCTCTATTTCATTCCTGGAGACCGGATGTAAGCCCAAGGTCATAGGGACTTCATCATGCAGGTGTATCATCACTTTATTGTTGTGATCTTTCTGGAGTAAAGAATCTAATGCTTTCTTCATCTGTTCCCTGAAGGATAAGTTCTGCTCATGGGAACAGTACCCACTAAGTCCCTGGCCAGGCATTTAGAATAGAAACAAAGCCACTTTCACCTTCTGGCGCAGAAAGGCTTCTACTTTCTCTGCTATCAACCTTCCTTATCTCCTGTAGGAAATACTTATTGAATAGTCACTCCGTGCCAAGCCCCATGCTTCGGGGTACTGGGTCCTCAGAGTAAGCAAAACGGCTTGTGAGAACTGCCTCACAGAGTTTACATTTGTAGTCTAATGGTGCTGAAAGATAATAAAATGGGCAATAACAATCTGGAAGAACAGGGTATCAATCCCATCTATGTGTTAAGGGTCAGGAGATGCTTCCTGCAAGGAGTCATATCTAAGCTATGACAGCCTAGCTTACTGTCCAAGAAGATTCACTCTCTGTGCCCTGTGTTCATGATCCTTGACTTGGGGTGTTGTTCTATGACTTGCTCGCCCAATGGGATGTTCGTGGACTCGGACTGAACTAAAAGATTAAAATGCACTTCGCCAAACTGACTCTCCCTCTGGTGCCTCTGCCATCAATATGAGAAGAACATGTCCCAGCTCTCCTGTTGGTACAAGGAGGACAAAAGGCACTCAGGTTAGTCACCCAGCTGACCTTCAGAGCCTCCAGCTGTGCCCAGCTTCCATCACCTGACCTTCAGATGCGTGAGTCCAGAGGAGGGTGCAGCCAGCCTGCAGCACTTCCCCTTTGACTCAGAACAGCTGATCAGCGCCAGATCCTAGACTACCAGGAAGTCCTACAAGTTAAGTAAGGCTAGAGCATAAGAGGGCTTCCTAGGTGGCTCGGTGGTAAAGAATCTGCCTGCCAAGAAGGAGTCTTAGGTTTCATCCCTGGGCCAGGAAGATCCCCCGGGGAAGGAAATGGCAACTCACTCCAATATTCTTGCCTGGGAAATCCCATGGACAGAGGAGGCTGGTGGGCTACAGTCCATGGGGTTGCAAAGAGTCAGAGACAACTTAAAGCCGCACACTCTCCCCCCCACGTAAGATGCTGCATAGGCTCCAAACTGAGTCTGAGTTATCGCTTCCTCTGTGAAGCCTTCTCTGACGCCCGCCCACACCCCAGACAGATCCAGGGCCTCCCTCCAACATCCCCCCACGGTGTTCACGCTCATCGTGGGCCCAGAACTGCCCCAAGTGTCTCATCTGTACGCAGGAATCAGCCCTTCCCGGGCCCGCTGCCACACAGCATTAGGGGCTGGACTCCTTTATGTCTTTGCTGCGAGAGAAACCCAGGGAGGCCTCACCTCATGTGCCTGAAATGCGAGAGGAGAAGGAGGAGTTGGGCCAGGCGCCGGTGCTGCTGCTGCAGAGTCAGGCCCGCTTTGGCCATCAGATGGATCAAGGTGTCTGTGATCTTGTCCAGGACGCGGTGGATGTGGTCCTTCTCTTCCAGAGACCTCAGAGTGCTGGACAGAAATGTGTACACCCCTGAATGTGCAGAGAGAGAGAGAGAGAAACTCAAAGAGGATAAGGTCCAGGATGCGTGGGGGGAGACACTGAGCCAGTGCCCCTCTGCGGTCCCCACCCTCCCCGCCCAACCACTGAGAAGCTCAGGATCTATTTGGTCCAGGCAGCTATGCAAAACTCCTCATGAATATACATGTCGGAAAGCACGTGTCTAGGAAACTCATGTCTCCTCCTGTGTGTGAGCCAGTTTCCAGGGTTTGTCATCAAGATTTCCTAGAAAGGCACTGCTTGCCTTGGGGCCATGGCAGTTATACCAGCCATCTCTCCTCTGACAGGCCTTTTGCCAATGCTAACTATCCTGTTAACACTGTTGACAGCTCCAGGCAGGCAGCATTATCGCTCCATTTCACACGAAGAAACAAAAGTGAAAAAAAAAAAACTGTATTAACTTGTGGAATGAACACGACGGGACAGAGCAGGGTTGAGAATGACCCCAATGTGCTGACTCCACATCCTGTCTTATAATGGAAACTCTCAGAAGACATGGGACACTCTCGGTGAACAAGTAAAAGGGATTTGCTAAGTGATTGACAGCTAACATTTGCAGGTAGGGCTTAATTTGCTGCTACATTTCAGGTCAGGTTTGGGGCCTTCGTACTTTTCAAGCTCAGCTGAAAGGTTTATGATAGGAGAGGCAAGAGGACCCTGGGAAGTGCTGGTGATGGCCAAGTGTGGATTTATGCCCTCTTGCCTTTCTTCTGATAGTAAACCCTGCTCTTGCAGCTACAGATAGACTTCAGACTATAATTAGACAATCGGTTCACTCTATTCTTTTGGATAGTATTAGCCTCACACTAGAAAATCAGAGCTTTTTCTGGGCTTATATACGGCTTCCTTGGACTTCCCTGGTGGTTAAGATGGTAAAGAAGCTGCCTGCAATGTAGGAGATGCAGGTTTGATCCCTAAGTCGAGAAGATCCCCTGGAAAACAGCATGGCAACCCACTCCAGTGTTCTTGCCTGGAGAATTCCAAGGACTGAGGAACCTGGTGGGCTACAGTCCACGCGGTTGCCAAGAGCTGGACACGACTGAGCACAACAACAACAAATATGGAAGCTGAGGATGGAAATTCCTTCCTCTAGGGTGGAGGTGCTTGGAGGATGAGGATATGGGGGCTTTTAGGTGCCACCTTCCCAGTAGGAGGAGTGCCCCCTGCTAAGTGGAGCCAAGTAACAACCAGTAGAGGTGATAGTTCCTGGGTGGGGAAGTGGGGGGGAGGGAGGGGAGAAATCCTGGTTCCCCTCATAAGATCCTTGTCCCTACTTCTTTCATCTGACCTTAACGCTTCCATCGTATCCTTTTTAACACACAGATCCATAAATCCCCTGTTTGCTTAAGGTAGTGTGAGTTGGGTTTCTGTGACTTGCAACTGGAAGAATCCGGACTCTTTAAGTTGGGAGTTCAGGAGACAAGGAAGGTTGAGTGATAAGAGGTGAGAAGTATTGAAAGCAAAAGGAAGGCAGGATGGAGCAGTTCTATCAAGTGAGTACTGCAGAAGCCAACTTATCCTCCTCGAAGCACATCTCCTCGAAGGGAGCAGATGATGCGGTATTTACCTCCAGATATACGTCTATTTAGCAACATTATTTTTGGTCTTTTTAGCCCACTGGCCCTCCCATAAATATATTTCTTCTTTTCCCCTCCCCCCATCCTCACTGTGTATTTTCAAGTTAAAGGCCCCGCCAGTTTATGAATCCCCGACTCTGGGCCAGTGGCACAGTGATGAGTTACTGCTCACGCCGAAGCCTGTAGGATGAAAATGGGGGAAACGCCCACACAGAGGAACTCATAGTAAACATGGTTGGAACTGCCCAGAATGGGAAGCGGCTAATATTCAAAACAAATACAGCAACAACAAAACCAGAACAGCCAGGCTCCTGGCTTACCGGCTGTAGAACAGAATAATGTAGCTTTTGGTACCCGGAGGCGTTCCTGTCCAAAGGAAACAGTGCTCAGGATAAGTAAGCAGTGGACAGGCAGTGGGATGAGAAAGAAATTGCTGGATTACTTGTGTTCCCTGTGGGCTTCTGATAGAAAAAGGTTGTGCCCATTAGAAAAAAGGGCACAGGTCCAAGGGCCTTGGGGTGGACCCGGAGGTAACAGGTGGCCGGGGAGGTGTGCGCCAGTGGGTCGGGGGGCCCGGGACAGCCCCTGCTGAGCCCCACGGCCCTGCCTCTCCCGGCCCTTATGTCATCACACACATTCTAGCCTGGTGTCTCTCAGAAGCCCTGCCGTCTGGCTGGAATACCCTGGGAAGCTGCCCAGGCCACAGAGCTGGCTGAATCCAACTTGGATGATGCACTTTCTACCAATTTCCCTTTTTTTTTTTTGTTACCACCCAGGATGCTGGCCTCGCTCACCAATCATCCCATTCTTGTTCAAGGAAACCACAGGACGGAGGAGTGTCCACGCTTCTGCACCTGCTCGTCCTGCATGTGCGCCCGGGGTGAGCGTGGCCGGTACAGAGCTGCGGACGCGCTGAGACCCCGCACGCTACCCTTCCCTCTCCAGGGGAGGCCGGAGCCCTGGCACACAGGCTGCTGGAAGTGCAGCCCACCTCCCACTGTGGGTTCCCCCTCCTGGACCGGTCCTCCCTCCAGGCTGCTCTCCCTGAGAACCTACTGTGTGCGGGCGCTGCATTAGGAGACAGGGATTCACAGCCCTCTCAAGTGTTAATGTCTTAATAGCAGCGACTTCCTGTGGAGGGTTGATTTTCTTTACTGACTTTCCGGATACCTGCCATTCTCAGAGCAAGCTTGTTTTTCTAGACCTGTTTTGGCACCAAAACAGCTTATCATCTCATCCTTGTCAACAGATGCTTCCTAGCTGTGCGAATATACTTAGAAATAAATATATGGTCCTGCTGGAATGCCAATAATCAACAACAGCAGCCATCTTCCTTGGGGGCTTTTCTGGCAATAAAAAAAAAACAAAACAAGTGGTCCCAGTTTGTTATCTATTGCTCCTAAGGGGCCGGTGGAGAGACACAACAGAAATCCAGAAATCCTAATTCGCAGAGGGCTTCAGGTGCTCTGGCAAGAGCCAAACAGGGCTTCTGGTAATTTCCATACCCCAGGTGGTCCCTGCCACCCTGGACAGCTGTGCCACTGTTCCCAGCAGCACGGAGCCAGTGATCAGACAGTGCGGGCCTTCAGAAACGGTCTTACAACAAGGCAGGCTTTTGCAACTCCCCAGGCTGCTCCAAATCCCCAAGATGGAAAAAGCAATCTGTATGTCATTATCCAGGCTTGAAGCGCTGTTGGCAAATCCGAGCTTCTATGTATTCTGAATCTTTCAGCCAACACTGGGAGTTTCGGGAAGACTCTACGGAGAAAAATCTGGTGGTAGAAAGGAAGGGGGAGCGTAAGTGCATGGACACCCGGTAGAGAACAGAGCTCAGCCTTTCTCCCTCTCTGCCTCTCACTGCCTCAGGCTTCTGCGCTCTCCTTCTTCCGCTTGCTCTGCTTGGACACGCTTTTCCTTCCTTCTTTCCTTCCTCCTTTCCGCTCCATCCTGCAGGAACGCCCTTGTTACACCTTCATCACTTTTCCAGATGATACAGTCTCCTCCTCGGGAAGCTGGAGGAATGCAGATATGGAGACAGCAGTTCACACCTGCACGTGACTGTATGCAAAGGAAACACTAGCAGGACCCGGGGCCACACGCCCGGGCACTGATCTCCACTGGGTGGGGGGCGCATCCAACTGTTCTCGGAGAAGCAAGGAAGGAAGACGCTGATGCTTCAGGACGAAGTCTTCAAGTGAGGCCATTTAGCAGTTCACACCTGCACGTGACTGTATGCAAAGGAAACACTAGCAGGACCCGGGGCCACACGCCCGGGCACTGATCTCCACTGGGTGGGGGGCGCATCCAACTGTTCTCGGAGAAGCAAGGAAGGAAGACACTGATGCTTCAGGACGAAGTCTTCAAGTGAGGCCATTTTTCTTTTTGTTTTTATCTTTTCTTTTCCAGAAAGACAAATGTGACAGTGGATCCTGGGAGAGTCCTTGTGTCCATAGCAGCTTGACCAGAAAGGCAAAGAGAATGACTCAAAGAAAGATGAGAGGGAAGAAAACTCCTTAAACCCCCAGCTGTAAGTGGTCTAGACCTGGAAGCTGCCACTCAGCTGGAATAAAAAAGGAACTTTTGGGGGTACGTGGCACATGAAGGACCCAGGGATTCATCTGCAGACCAGCCTGTTAGGTGCACTGCTGGGTGTGGCTTCTACAAATCAAAGTTTGCTCTTAAGTGCCTTCACGGCAGACAGTTTCATGAGTGCTGCATCCGTTTTAGGCATCACGTCTGCTGGCCGCTCCTCCTCCTGGCACTGTGGGTCTTGTGGGGTGTTGGACGGCTCATGGTGGCTGAAGCCACTTACTGAGAAGGGCTGGGCTGGATGTCCTACAATATGTGGGACAGTCCCAAAGAATGAAGGACTTCTTCTCTTTTTCTTTTTTAAAGGGCAGATAATTTCATATTTAAAGTTAGAAATTCATCTCACCAAAATGGATACCATCCATCATTAAAGATGCATTAACCATCAAAGGTTTTGAGTTCCAATTTCTGTGTGTGTATGTGTGTGTGTATGTTATGTGGCAGAGTTTTCCTTTTTCTAAATTTTTAATTGAGGATAATTACTTTACACAACTGAGCACACACATACACCAAAGTGAGTGTTAGTTGCTCAGTCATGTCCCACTCTTTGTGACCCCATGGACTGTAGCCCACCAGGCTCCTCTCTCCATGGGATTCTCCAGGCAAGAATACTGGAGTGGGTTGCCATGCCCTCCTCCAGGCAATCTTCCTGACTCAGGGATGGAGCCTATGTCTCTTATGTCTCAAGCATTGGCAGGTGGGTTCTTTACCACTGGTGCCACCTGGGAAGCCCATGCATTATAAATACATGTAAGCATTTTACTACTTTATCAGTTTTTGTACCATAGTCAAGCCTTGGCATCTGCATTGAAAGATGCAGCATTTTATTTTAAATTAGTTAAATATTATTCCTCCTTTATGACCATTTTGAAATTACCTGAAATTATATTTTCATTAAAAAAGGATATATATGTATAGACTCATTTATTTCGTTTTAGGCTAGTCAAAGGAATATGCATGTTTTATCGGACTGGTGTTGGTTTCTGGCAATTCTTTGTTTTGTTTTGTTTTGTTTTCCTGCATTCAAGCTTTATTGTATATGTAATGACTTTTTCCTTAAGCACAGTTCTACTTTTAAATTAATTTTTATTATAGTATAGTTGCTTTACAATGTTGTGTTAGCTTTTGCTTTACAGCAAAATGAAACAGATATACATATACATATACACATATCACTTCTTTTTTCAGATTTCCTTCCCAGTTTCAGTCACCACAGAGCAGTGAGCAGAACCCCCTGTGCTGCGTGATAGGTTTTCATTTGGAGTTCCCGGCAACTCTAATAAGAGTTTTATCTCGAGTTTGTGATTCCCAAGCGTGGCTGGCTGTCTCTCAGTCTCTCCTGTGGGGTTTTCCAACTAGTTCAAGTTCCAGCCAAATCTGCTGACCGAAAGCTGGGGTTGGAGCACTTGTATCTGGGCTTCTTAAAACCTCCCCACTGATGAGTCTGATGCCCAGCGAGGATTAAGAATCACACGATTACCCTGATTTGCTCTTTTATGGCCACTACTATGTAAGCTCTTAGAAACATGGACTATATCTTCAGTGAAAAGTGTCTTATCCCAATGCTGATCTGCTTTGAGAATTTCCTTTCCAACTTCCTCATCATGTTGTGGTCCTTTATGCTTCTTTTCCCTTTCTGGCTGGCTTGATTAGAATGGAGATAACTCTTAGGATGACCATGGAAGTCACCCAACTAATACTGCAGAGTCCTGGCACAACCACACGGAAGAAGGCTCTGGCACCAACCTATTCAAGCACCCAGCGATATTATGTAAACAAGAAACAAACCTTCATGTGTTTGCACCATTATACATTTTGGAGCCTATTTGTTAGAGTTGTCCTACTATAAGGCAAGATGAGAAGTATTTTATGACTTACTGACTGTATCAATGAATAAATTGTATAAATCAGATAAAGTCAGAGTGATGCTTGGTATACCTCCTTTTGCTGGCCATTTTCTGCATTCCTAAGGCCTTAGGTTACATGAAAGTGTTAGTCACTCAGTCAGGTCTCACTCTTTGCGATCCCATGGACTGTAGCCCACCAGACTCCTTTATCCATGGAATTATCCAGGCAAGAATACTGGAGTGGGCTGCCATTTCCTTCTCCAGTGGATCTTCCTGACCCAGGGATCGAACCTGGGTCTCCTACATTGCAGGCAGATTCTTTACTGACTGAGCCACCAGGGAAGGCCTTAGGTTGCATAGTTATAAATTATAACACAATGTGGCAACATTGGCATTTGGGAAGAGAAATGATTTATAACTTAGGTTGCATATTTATAAGCCTTTCTCTTCCCAAATGCAAATATTGCCACATTTTGCTATAGAAAGCATGATCTAGATTCTAGAACCACGTCATCATCTCCTGTCATGCTAACCATTCATTCTGAATACTAACATAATTCATAGCAGCCAATAAGTTCAAAGAATATGCTGATCTGCTTTGAGAATTTCCTTTCCAACTTCCTCATCATGTTGTGGTCCTTTATGCTTCTTTTCCCTTTCTGGCTGGCTTGATTAGAATGGAGATAACTCTTAGGATGACCATGGAAGTCACCCAACTAATACTGCAGAGTCCTGGCACAACCACACGGAAGAAGGCTCTGGCACCAACCTATTCAAGCACCCAGCGATATTATGTAAATAAGAAACAAACCTTCATGTGTTTGCACCATTATACATTTTGGAGCCTATTTGTTAGAGTTGTCCTACTATAAGGCAAGATGAGAAGTATTTTATGACTTACTGACTGTATCAATGAATAAATTGTATAAATCAGATAAAGTCAGAGTGATGCTTGGTATACCTCCTTTTGTTGCCATTTTCTGCATTCCTAAGGCCTTAGGTTGCATGAAAGTGAAAGTGTTAGTCACTCAGTCAGGTCTCACTCTTTGCGATCCCATGGACTGTAGCCCACCAGACTCCTTTATCCATGGAATTCTCCAGGCAAGAATACTGGAGTGGGCTGCCATTTCCTTCTCCAGTGGATCTTCCTGACCCAGGGATTGAACCTGGGTCTCCTACATTGCAGGCAGATTCTTTACTGACTGAGCCACCAGGGAAGGCCTTAGGTTGCATAGTTGTAAATTATAACACGATGTGGCAACATTGGCATATGGGAAGAGAAATGATTTATAACTTAGGTTGCATATTTATAAGCCATTTCTCTTCCCAAATGCAAATATTGCCACATTTTGCTATAGAAAGCATGATCTAGATTCTAGAACCACGTCATCATCTCCTGTCATGCTAACCATTCATTCTGAATACTAACATAATTCATAGCAGCCAATAAGTTCAAAGAATCAAGAGGGAAGCCCAGGATGTCAGAATGTTTAGTTAGTTATCAATCAAAGATGCAGCCCCCAACATTATTAAGGGTTCAGAGACTGCACTGTACCATGCAGGAACTGACTTCTCATTTCATGAACTGAACAAAAAGAGTATTGCCTTGAGCAATATTTGTTCAGAGGCAGGAAACGTCCATCCTTCTACCAGTGTGTGATTATTTACTAAAAGGTGAAGAACTTTTCATAACTCCCAGTCCTTGAGCAAATGTTTACTATTACTCTAGTCTTTGTAAGATCACACACTCCTCCAGTCATCTTCTAAGTGGTCTCATAGTGAGAGGGATCACAGGGAAGATAAGTATTCTCGTCATAACACAACAGGGACCACAGCAGTCCTTTCATTTTGGCATCACTATAATACCCACAAGTACTCCCTTGGCACAGACGACTATGAACTCATCCACGAATGATTCAGTGACATTTATCAACTT